TCTCCTGTTTTCTGATTTTCTGCGGGTGCCTCCTCTTGACTGATCCAGGGAAGCCCCTGCATTTAGTCAGTAGAAGACAGTCTGCTAGAGCACAAAGAAAAGTGGAGAAGGGTGGGTATTGATGGGAGTGGAGACAAAAGGACAATAACCAGCACAAATGTGATCTATGTTGACTGCCAACAGGGTTCAGTGTGTTTTCAGCAGACACAGTGGGCCAGGCTTTATGTGAGCTCACTGCTTATATTCTGGCTTCTTCCTCCCTGGCCTGCATAATCCCAGATTGGTAGTGGAATTCGTGGTTCTCTATATCAGCAAATAGTGATCTATCCAACGATATTAGGCCCTGTCTAATTAGTTTACCTTCAGTCCCATTTGAATAGCTGCACCAACCCCATCATTTACTCTTTGTTGACTCCTTTAGGCAGCATTGATACGTATGGACCCTCAAGCTGGTTTTCCAATAGGCCCTGGAGGGTGGGCTAGGGATAGAGCCAAAGAAGGGCAGCCTTCTCAGCAGAACGCAGGGCAAACTGATGAAAAGTGGATTTTAAAGTCACATAGACATTGGTGTGAGACCATGTTCTGCAATGTAGATGCTCTGTAGTTTTTTTTATTACCTCAGAGTTTTAGCCTTTTCCATTTATGATTTGGAGGTGGTTATGGTCTTAAATCATAGGGCTAACACAATGACCAAATGTGATAATGCTTACAAAGAAACAAGCACAGTGCATGGCATATAACAAATGCTCAATGAATGTTAGTGACGACGATGATGATGAGATTGATTGCTCTGGTTTGAGTGTCCCTTAGTGACATTTATGCTATAATGTAATTTTCCTGGAGTCTAGTAGTTTTCTTTATTCTATAAATATAGGAATATACTGCAAGTCAGTATGTATAAGTTTTTATTTAAAAAATGTAATTCAAGCCCAAAAAGAATTTCATAATTTTAAATAAGTCCTTGTATTCTCCTCACCTAGTTTTTTAACAATTTGCCACATTTGTTTTATAAGTATATAAATATATATACAGGCACACATATCATTTGTACCATCAACATTTTTGTTGCATCATTTGAGAATAAGTTGCAGACATTATGACCCTCAACCACTAAACATTTTGGAGTGTATCATGCTAAATTTTAGCATGTCTCATGCTAAAGAGCAGATATTCTCTTTCTTTAAATTTCTTTAAAATAATTATTTAACTTCATTTTTTAAATTTTATTAACTCTTTTTTAATACATTCAATCACATTATTTAGCTTACAAAGTGAACATTTCAATATGTGAACATTTCTCCCCAGTCCAATTGATATAACTATAAAATTATCTTCAACAAATAATACCACATTTCTTTGTCCCATTAATGCTTTGCCTCTCTATTTTTCTTCTAAATGTCCTTCCTCAGACTCTACTCTTTCACACACAGTATATCAATTATTTACAACCATTTTCTGTGTTTCTATATCCTTTAGTCAATCAGTTTCAGTTATAGAGTGCCGACATTCAGTATATATTAAGTGGGGACATACAATGTCTCTCCTTCATAGCCTGGCTTGCTTCACTCAGCAGTAAATCTTCCATATTCTTCCACTTTCTGTCAAAAGCCAGCGTTTTTTTCTTTTCTTTTCTTTTTTTTTTTT